AAACAAACGTGTGGTGGTTTATGTAAGGATAATCTTTTTAAAATAATGAAAGTGAAGATCCATTAATTTCTGCTTACGTAATCCAATAGGTTCCGATAGGTTTCATGATGATAAAAGCCGGTGTTCCTTTTACTACTAATGATCTCTAGCAATAAGACTCCAAAGCTGAAGACATCAGATTTCTCCGAAAATATTCCTTCCATTGCATATTCAGGGGACATGTAGCCACTGCAAAAGCCAAAGCATAACAGTAAGTATAGAAAGCACAAAAGTACGTATGTTTTCATGTACAATGTGCATGCTCGTGAACCCAAGACAACACCAGTGAAATGTGAAGGCATTAAAATTACGAGGATGAATAAATACCAAACAAAGATGTGGCAAGAGAGTGAAATATGACATGTTGGACCATGTTTTAATAAAACAAAACAAAATGATTGAATACGAAATATATATCTGACCAGAATAGGTGAAATAGGCTTTGTAAAGTATTTCCGGTAATAAAACATCAAACTTACTAAGTTCCGACAATTCTATTGGTGTTTGCTAGAGTTTGATTTCCCATAACAATCCTGGCCATGCCAAAATCAGAAATCTTTGAGTTCATTTCCTCGTCTAGGAGAATATTGCTCGCCTTGAGATCTCGGTGAATGATCCTTAATCGAGAATCACGATGAAGATAAAGAAGCCCTCGAGCAATCCCCTCAATTATGTTAAATCTTTGATCCCAGTTCAGTATTGCCTTTTTATTTGAACCTAATCCAAAAAAAAAAAAAAAAAAAAAAAAAAAAAAAAACAAAAAAATCTTAACAATTCTATAGAAATTTGATTTTGCAATATCTCAACCCAACTGCACAAGATTCAAAATATGAGTTTCTGATGGTCGCTAATCCTTGTGACCAATAACATATCCTAATTTCCAATATTTTATATTGATGTAAAATAAAACAAACCAAAGAGGAAGGCGTCCAAGCTGCTGTTTGGCATGAACTCATAGAGCAGCATTTTCTCCTCTCCCTCAATGCAAAAGCCAAGTAGCTTCACAAGGTTCCTGTGTTGGAGTTTGGAAATTAATATGACCTCATTCTTGAACTCTTCTGTGCCTTGTCCTGAGCTCTTTGAAAGTCTTTTGACAGCAAGCACTTGTCCACTTGGTAGCTTACCCTGGAAAGGAATCATTTAACCTATAAAAATGCATATATATATATATATATATATATATATATATATATATATATTTTTCAAGTCTGAAAATGAAATATAACCCTTTTGGTTACAAGTTGAGAGGCAAGGACAAAGTACCTTGTAAACAGGACCAAATCCCCCTTCACCAAGCTTATTAGCTAGAGAAAAGTTATTTGTAGCAGCTGCTATCTTTTCCAAGTTGAAAAATGGAAGGTCCGAGCTTTCTTCTTGATAAATAGTATGTCGAGGCAAAAAGGCTTGCGGAGAATCTGCTGACACTTTCCTTTTTCTACTGGAAATTTTTTTCTGAATGATTGTCTTTGCACCTGGTTTTCAATATGAATTATCAAGGAGTGACATTTCTAGATACCAAATTATATAACAATCATCGAATTAGCAATTATTGATCATATTTACCTCTAAGTGATGTCTTCATTCTGCATAAAATATATGCCAAAATACTGAGGCCGATTATCGTGGAGATGACTATGAGTATAATGATAAAGCCCCTTATTCGTCTTTTTTCACCTGAATTTTCAATTAGACATTGCTAAATTCAAGTCCATCCTTAACAACATGAAGTTTTTAATATCAATATAAAAATGTTGAAGTTGCTAATGTACTGATTGCCTTCGAAGGTCTGAGATGGACATAAGAAAAATCAATTTGCAATCCAACCACAACTAAGAAACATCAAATAAATGTGCTGTTGTTGGTGTAAGCAAAATTAATCATTGTTGGCTAAGGCTAGGAAAAAATTGCATATATATCCCATGGAAATGTCGGAGCCATCATAATTGCTACAATGACGATTAAAAATAAATCATATACTTACCTAGTTCAGAATATGCGAGTCGAAGGTATAAATCCTCTCCACCGTAAGAGAACGCCCTAACATCAATCAGATGTCCTCCCCAAACCATACAACCAATTCCATTTACATGTGAATATGCAACACAAGAACAGTTCTTCAGGCAAAAATCACCACAATCTATAGCGTCATTCGTATCCAAGTAATCTGAGAAGGCTGGTAGTTTTACTCCTGTCAGCTTTATAAAACCGTCTGCTTTGCTATCTTCAATGCTCGAATTCCTCTCACACTGCATTTCGACTCTTCTTATACAACCACCTGTCCAATTTTCTCTCTGCCATTCTTCTGTAGACTTTGGTTCATACCCTCTCAAACAATTGCATATTGGGGAGTTCCTGTCATTACAGATCCCAAACGAGCCACATGTACCAAAAATATCACAGGTATCATTGGGTGCAATCACATAATTTACCCATTTCCTAGTCTCTGCATCCCAGGTCATTTCAATTATAGTTCCCAGAGAACTCAAAAACAATGGAGATGACGACGTATTGAATAAAGAATACACAAAAGAGATCGTTCCTGCCTGATTATCCCTGAACAGGTTAAAGCCTGTAAGGTAGTCTGTGTTCATGCCTGGAATTCCTATAAAGCTCCTCCCGTTCCACTGCCCACTTCTCCAGCGTTGGATTGTTCCGTTTAAGATCACACCTTCTGGCAGTTCACGAGGCTCCAAAACTAAGACAAAACTTCCGGGTGATGGATCCTTGTCACTCTTCCATGATGTTAAAAATAAACTTTCCCCTGTCTTAGTGTTCAATCCCAGCTTCATGCCCGGCAACAAAGTATCTGATGGATGACTGAAGCTTTCCCATAAGACACTTCCGTTTGATTTGTTTTCAATAAGAACAAGATTACCTGAAGCATGAAGTACCGCAATTGTGTCATTTGATGCAACAGAAGCTAGCTTTGTGGACCAAACTGTGTTGAATTTGTCATCGATGAGCACCAAATTCCCATCCCTTCCGATCACTAGGACGCCAGACGTATCCGTCAATGGGTTGTCACTGTTTGCAACCCATACAACTTTTTCATCGGGGAGTCCTCTGTACCATATACCCACATATCTTACATGAGATGCATTAGGACTAAAGAAGCCCAGCTCAAAGACTTCCCCTTTTGAAACTAAGGTTTGACCATCCAATACTTGTTGGGTTTTAGAAATGGTGTCTATTGCTAAACAGCGAGATTGTAATAGGGAGATGTGAATAAACAGGAAGAACCAAAGAATTGCAGCTAAGTTTTTGTTGGAATTGATCATTTTGTATTGAATAGCTAGCTATTGTGGCCACAAGGAAAAAGAATAATGGGTGCGTGAAATAAGTTGTGTTTTTGTTCAAAGAAAACACTTTATGAATCAATTCAGCAGCATAAAGTTGACAAAATACGAATAGCATACTTTTCAACTTGTATAAGGTCAGACTGTCTGTCATGAAAAGTAATTTTCAAAGATTGGTTATTTGAAAAAACTCTGAAACAAATGTTTAGTGTATAAAGTTAGTCCAAGATGGTTGATGGACCAGTTTGAAAAATGGACAAGACAAGCAGACTAAATAGACCACTTCCCACGCCAACTCGGCAAATAATCCAAAAGAATGAATAAAATTCTAGACAGTGTAAAAATGGAATAAAATCGAAAAAATCTTAAAGAATAGTTTACTCTTGAGAGAGGTGGATTGAAAGAAAAAAAATCTTAATGATTGAGGGGACGCTGGCAAAGTTAAACTAGCACCGATAAAACACTAAACGGAAGAGCAAGCAGAGAAAGTATATACATAAAACAAATGGCAATCTTTTAGCAAATTCACCCTCAAATTGCAATTTTTTAAACATTTAAATTTTTTTTAATTAAGATTGAAATATCAGATCGAGAATCCTATTTCATATAATTTTATAGCAAAAAAAAAAAAAAAAATTCTAATTAGAATATAAATAAAAGGACTCTTTTCACATCCGTTCATCATGCAGGCATATATATATATATATATATATACAAAGATTTCACCGTTCATACCATGATACCAAGTGTGAATATCAATATATGTTTTTTTATTTTTTTATTTTTTCTCAATAAGGCAAAGAATGAACCATACAATTCGGGGGTGCTAAGGGCCGAACAAATAAACCGGATACAAACAATCCACACCAGCCCATAAGCAGGGGAACAAAAATTCAATAGCCCATAAGAAGAGGTCCAACCCAATGAAGGGCCCAAAACGAAGGCAAGACAAAAAGTAACACTGCCAAACAACACAAACACAACTTGTTGCGAATTAGTTAGGTATTCCCCGATCTGGCCATTGTTGGAATTAAAAAACAGAGCTGGGAATCTACAGGTGAACGCCATGGATTCAAAGATGAGCTTCTCGACCACTTCAGAAGAAGACTGAGCTCTACCGAAAGGTGCGATTATTGTCGCTACTTCTATATGAATTACACACACTCAGCTCACCAACACATACACATAGCTTCAAAAGGAAATTAGGGGTTGCATTAGAAGTCGAGGTCCAATTAGATTGAACCTTCATTTGGAGGACCAAGAGCCATGCCCTCAAATCAACTCCGGTATGTATAAATTAATGATGCTATATAATTCCACCAATAAACGGTAATTAAAAACACATGTAAGCACACACAGTAAAAGGGTAATCTAGTTTTGCCAATTGGTCTGGTACTTTTCTATGCAAAAGAGCAAGTTTCATATACCTGAATGCTAAGCCAAGTGAAAGCTCTGATACCGAAGGTTGGACTAAAATGGTGGTGGGACTTTGTAACGATCCTATCTGATACTAAAATTTTTTTTAAAAAAAATTTGGCATAAACTCCACTAAAAATCATCCTACAACAACCTGTTTAAAAAAATTTTTAACCTGTCCCAATACAATGAACATCTAATACATTCTATGATAGTAGAACCACATACTATATCATCCAAGTATCATAATTACAGTCCCAAAATACAAGATTAATATCGAATGTCCATATTTTACAACGTTTAGACAGCTCATACAAAAGTTATAACCCATAGGTATAATTAAAATATTAGAAGTCCATATGTCGTCGTACAAAATACATTATGTTTAGTCTTACAAAAATAGAGTGACCCAAATACAAAAATAACAAAATAAACTCCTAATCCATACTAAGTCTGTGGTAGAATGTTATCCGCCACTTCTTTCCCGTTTCCTGCAAAAAAATTGTTAAATAAAAGGGGTGAGCAAAATTACTCAGTAGGTGGTGCCTAAGACACACTTCTTGTGTCCCCGTGAATCCAAACAAGGAATAGGACAATAAGAATTTGGGATCATGCAAAGCCGGAAAACACAATATCAATTCTAAGTTCAAAACAAATAAATTTCGTGCCATGAATGCAATGTTATACATGTCACTTCCCATTTTCAAAAAATATCATCAATTCACAAACTGTTAATATAACCCGCCCTTTGGTGACTCCGCAACAACACGAGAGAAGGATTGGCTACTGTCCCTGACCTTTGGTACCTCCGCAACGTCATTTGGGGCTCAGATAGCTCAACTATGCTAAGACAATCTCCCTAATTCCCTCTACGCTATATTAACACACCGGCTCTTTAGTGACTCCGCGACGACCGGGTTTTTCTCAAAAACCGTTTCATCAAATTCTCTCCAAAAATTCCCTTTTTCATTATTATCAAATCATTGTACCATTTTTCTTTCATACCCAATGCTATGGATGCAAGTCACATGCTTTACCATTTCTAAGAAATTCAAGAAATTTCTACTACACAATTTAGCATGCATCCATATAGTCATTTTAGCAAGATAATAAACACTTAGGCATGACAATTAACATATTAATCATACTTTACAATAATTCTAAAAGAATTTCTATATATTTCCATGAATAATTTCTAATAATTTTATCAACACAATCATATAGAGAATCCAATAATCAAGCATATCTTTCATACAATTTCACATAATCACATACTATATATACAAAATCAAGTCATTTAAGAGGCAAATAAATCAAATTGATCATTCTTGACAGTAAATATCATAGAATGACTCACAAAAGCACAAGGTAGTGGAATTAGAGACCCCTACCTCTATTATATGCAAAACCCCCAATTTGCACTACAAACCCTCAAAATGGGTCACAATTTCCGGACTCCCTAGGTTGCTCAAAACTGAAATTGCTGGTACACACGTGTAGAGTTCGCCGTGCTCTCCGTTTTGCCGCAAACAGGAGAAATCAACAATTGAAGCTTGAAGTGAAAAAAAAAAAAAAAAAAGAAAAGAAACCCGAGAGGAAGACACATGACAAAGACGGGAGAGAGGGAATGAGATTATAGAGCCAAAAAGAAAAACGAGGTCTTATGACCACTTAAAACTTTTGTGGGTCCTACCCAATTGTTTTTTTTTTTTTTTTCTCTTTTTCTTTTGCTTTTAAATTCACACCACACACACACAATTATATATATATATATATTTTTTTCTCTTTTTCTTTTGCTTTTAAATTCACACCACACACACACAATTATATATATATATATATATATATATATATATATATATATATATATATATATACATAACATAGGTATTACATTCTCTCCAACTTTAAAAGATTTCGTCCTCGAAATAAAGACATACCTGAGGAAGAAAACAACTCTAGATACTTGGAGCGAACCTCCTGTTCGAGCTCCCAAGTAGCCTCCTCGACTCCGTGGTGTCTCCAAAGAACTTTCACCATTGGTATCTTCTTGGTCCTCAACACCTTCTGCTGTGTGTTAAGGATCCGAACTGGTTCTTCCTCGTAGGAAACATCCTCATCAATGTCCACATTAACCCAACTCAAAATGTGAGATGGATCCGGCTCGTACTTCCGTAACATCGATACATGAAAGATATTGTGGACTCTGTCCATCTGTGGTGGCAAAGCAAGTCTGTAGACAACCTTTCCTACCCGGTCCAAAATCTCAAACGGTCCAATGAATCGTGGAAACAACTTGTCACTTTTCCAATCCTTTCCGTGGAGAAACCCGTAGAAAAACGTGGTCTCCCACCTCAAAGGATAACGGCCGTCTCTGCTTATCCGCATAACTCTTCTATCGGCTCTAAGCTGTAAGTAACCTTTATCTGATCAGCTTAATCTTCTCAGTAGTCTCGAGTACTAAGTCGGGTCCTAAGGCGGCGGTGTAACGACCCTAGCTGATGCCAAAATTTAAAAAAAAAAAAAAATTCGGCATAACCTCCCCTAAAAATGGGCCTTCAACAACTGTCCCAATACACAAAACACATAAAATCATCCAGCATCCCATTCATCCGTTCATTATACCTCAACATAGTTCCTCTCATGGTGGAATATCCACACACCAATTAATCTAAATTATCATAATTACAGTCCCAAAATACATGGTTAAGATTTAAAGTCCCTGTCTTACAACGTTACATGATACAATTGCATGGAAACATATACCATAATTCCATTAGTTTCATTTACATCAAACAAAAGATAAGTTCGTTCTTAAGTTACAAGGCCATGAATACTAACTTAGTTACATCCCCACAACTATGAATATACAAAAAACGGTCAAAATACAAAATAGCAAACAACCTTCTAACAACTTTCAAGCTTGAGGTGGATTGTCGTCCACCAGTTCATTTCCAAGACCTGAAAAAAATAATATAAATAATAGGATGAGCATAAAGTTCAGCAGGTGACACTTAAGACACACATCTTGTGTCTTTGTGAATCCAAACAAAGCATAGGCCAATGGGAAATGGGGGTCATACAATATCGGGAAATAATACAGCATAACGATTCAATCTCAAGTATATCCAATGCAATGGTATGAGATGCAATGCATGCTAGTGTCGCTCCCCATTTTCATAATCCAAAACATCGTTTCCAAACTGTTAATACAGCCCACCCTTTGGTAGCCTCGCCGCTACACGAGAGGAGGATTGGCTAGTGTCCCTGATCCTTGGTAACCCCGCAGCGTCATTATGGGGCCCAGCTAGCTTAACCACGCTAGGGCGACTCCCTAATCCCCTCTAGGCTATATTAACCTCCGGCCCGTTGGTAACCCCGCAGCGACTGGGTTTCGCATAAAACCATTTCATCAAAAACACTTCCCTGAAATTCCCCATATTTATTTCAAGAACAATTTCTCCCATTTCATGCAAACCCAATGGTATGTGCATGTATATATGTTCCATACATTCAATGTCATGGCATTTAAAATTCTACACCATAAAATTAAACATTCAACATGTTCAACATCTCCCAAGTAATTATTAACACATTAAGATATAACAAAATACATTTAAGCATGCTTTACATATAAAACAACTCATATTCAAATACATGAATTTCTCTAGACAATATTTAAAATAATCATTGATACAATTAACTTCTAATTAAGCATGATTGGCACAACAAATGATTATAACTCACAATGGAACAAGAAGGTAGTGGATTAAGGTGTCCCTACCTCAAAAGTGAGCCAAAACCCTTAAAATGGGTCTCTAAATTCGAAGCCCCTAGGAAGACCAAATCTGAAATTGCTTACACTAGCGCGTAGAGCTCGTTGTGGGCTTCGTTTTGCCTCAAACGGCTCTCAAATCTACCAAGGATAAAGGAAGAAATCAAGAGTGGAAGTTGCAAAAGAAAAAGAAAAAAAAGAAAAACAGAGAGGAAGAAAGGCAGCGGGAAGAGAGAAAATGAACAGAAAAAATGGGTCTGTAATCCCATTTGGCACATGATAACATAAAATAAGTGGGTCCCACAGCTAAATAAAAAATTTTCTTTTAACCTATATATATATATATATATTGACACAGACATTACATTCTCCCCAACTTTCAAAAGATTTCGTCCCCGAAATCAAGCCATACCTGGGGAAAAAAATAACTCTGGATACTTAGAGCGAACCTCTTGTTCGAGCTCCCAAGTAGCCTCCTCGACTCCGTGGTGTCTCCAAAGGACTTTCACCACTGGTATCGTCTTGTTCCTCAACACCTTTTGTTGCATGTCAAGAATCTGAACTGGTCCTTCCTCGTAGGAAACATCCTCATCAATGTCTACATCAACCCAACTCAAAATGTGAGATGGATCTGGCTCGTACTACCGTAACATCGATACATGGAAAACATTGTGGACCCTATCTAACTATGGTGGCAAAGCAAGTCTATAGGCAACCTCTCCTACACAGTCCAAAATCTCAAACTGTCCGATGAATCGTGGCGACAACTTGCCACTTTTCCCGAATCTCATCAATCCTTTCCGTGGAGAAACCCGTAGAAAAATATAATCTCCCACCTCAAAGGATAACGACCATCTCCGCTTATCCGCATAACTCTTCTGTCGGCTCTGAGCTGTAAGTAACCTCTGTCTTATCAACTTAATCTTCTCAGTAGTCTCGAGTACAATGTCAAGTCCTAAGGCGGCTGTCTCGCCTACCTCAGTCCAACAAACAGGAGACCTACAAGGTCTACCATACAACGCCTCAAATGGAGCTATCTGAATGCTCGCCTGATAACTGTTGTTGTAGACAAATTTAATAAGTGGAAGATGATCCTCCCAACTACCACCCAAGTCAAGCACACATGCCCGAAGCATATCCTCCAAAATCTGGATAGTACGCTCCGACCGACCGTCAGTCTGTGGATGGAATGCCATACTCAGGTGCAACGCTGAGCCAAACGCTGCTTGAAGTCCTTCCCAGAACTTTGAAGTGAACTTAGCATCCCTATCTGAAACAATGGTTACTGGAACTTCATGCAACCTTACAATCTCCTTCACATAAAGAATACCAAGTTTTCTGCATCATCTGTTGCCTTAATAGGCAAAAAGTGAACCGTCTTGGTCAATCTGTCAATGATGACCCATATGGACTCATTGCCCCTTCGTGACCTTGAAAGACCTGTCACAAAATCCATAGCAATATACTCCCATTTCCACTGCGCTACAGGCAATGGTTGCAATAAACCGGCTGGTTTTTGATGCTCGGCCTTCACCTGTTGACAGGTGAGGCATCTAGCCACAAACTGTGCAACATCTTTCTTCATCCTGTTCCACCAATACTGACGTCTCAAATTGTGATACATCTTGGTATCACCTGGATGAACTGCAAAGCGGGAAGTGTGAAACTCCCGTAAGACGTCCTCACGACAAACCGTAGGAACCACCAACAAACCCCTGAACCGTAGACCCCCATCTGCATACAAGGCCCAATCTTTCACTGTTTCACCACTAGAGATCAAAGCGTGAATAGTATCTAAATCCGGGTCCTGTCTCTGTGACTCAATCACTCGTACAACAAGAGTAAGCTGAGCCACAAGACTAAACAAGAATGTCGGCTCGCTGTCAACATCATCATCAAAATAATACAATCCCATCTCTGCCAAATCCTTAAGCATCTTCCACTTCCGAATAGCCAGACAGGCCAAAGTTCCACGAGATTTTCGGCTTAAGGCATCTGCTACCACATTTGCCTTGCCTAGATGATACTGCAAGTCAAAATTATAATCTTCCAAGAATTCAACCCATCTTCTATGTCTATTGTTCAAGTCCTTTTGGGATAAAAGGTACTTGAGACTTTTATGATCCGAGTACACCTCGAATCTCTTACCATACAAGTAGTGTCTCCAACACTTCAAAGCAAACACAACTGCCGCCAACTCCAAATCATGAGTAGGGTAGTTGTACTTGTGAGTCTTCAACTGTCGAGACCCATAAGCCACTACTGTACTATCCTACATCAACACACACCCTAAACCATCACGTGAAGCATCACAATAGATTACGTAACCCAAGCCATGCTCAGGTATCACCAACACTGGAGCCATAGTTAATCTTGTCTTCAAATCCTGGAAAGATGACTCACAGGCTTCATTCCATGCAAACTTAATCCCTTTCCGGGTTAAACGGGTCATAGACGCTGCTAAACGGGAGAAATCTTTCACAAATCTCCGGTAGTAACCTGCTAAACCAAGAAAACTACGGATCTCAAACACATTCTTGGGTTGCTCCCAATTCAAAACAGCTTCAATCTTTGATGGATCAACTGACACTCCGCCTTCTGAAACAACATGTCCCAAAAACGTCACCTCTTGTAGCCAAAATTCACATTTCTTATATTTTGCATACAACCGGTGTTCCCGCAAAATTTGTAAAACAATACTTAAATGGATCTTGTGCTCCTCCCGAGATCATGAATACACAAGAATGTCACCCACAAAAACTATCACAAACTGGTCCAAGTAATCGTGAAAGACGCGTTTCATTAAGTCCATGAATGCCGCTGGAGCATTAGTCAAGCCAAAAGGCATAACAAAGAACTCACAGTGTCCATACCGTGTACGGAATGCTGTCTTCGGGATATCCTCATCTCTAACCCGTAACTGATAATAGCCAGACCTCAAGTCAATCTTGGAGAAACAACTGGCTCCCCTCAACTGATCAAATAAATCATCTATCCTTGGCAAAGGATACTTGTTCTTGATGGTGGCGCGATTCAACTTTCGATAATCGATGCACAACCTCAAATAACCATCTTTCTTCTTAGCAAACAAGACCGGTGCGCCCCATGGTGACACACTCGGTCGGATGAAACCTTTCATCCTCAAATCATCAAGCTGTCTTTTTAATTCCTCCAATTTAACTGGTGCCATACGATACAGTGCCATAGAAATCGGCGCGGTACCGGGCATTAAGTGAATAGTAAACTCCACTTCTCGGTGTGGAGGTAACTCTGTCAAATCCTCCGGAAACACATCCAGAAAATCACGAACAACTGCAGGATAATATTCTTCCACAACATCATCCTCTTCGGCTATAAGGCTAGCCAAAAAGTAATCACTACGACCCCGTCCACGAATTCCATAAATTGATGAAATGTGGGAATCACTCCGATCTCCCACAAAAAAGAAACAGTCTCCCTCGGGAGTACAAACTGTAACCCTTCCTCTGTAACAGTCAATCGTGGCATGAAAGGAAGCTAACCAATCCATCCCGAGAATGACATCAAAGCTAGTCATCTCCAGGAGGATAAGGTCAAACACAAAAGTCCGCCTGGCTATCACAATGGAACAGTCCCTTATGACTCGGCTTAAAGACACTGAAACTCCAACTGGTGTATCAACACACAACGCTCGATCCATAAAACTGACCTCTAACCCCGATGCAAGTGCAAATGATGCAAACAACTGCACTCCTATCAGACGCAGCTGGCAACGGAGTGGTAGGAGCAGATCGTGCAGACTGCTGTCCTTGAAACTAAGATGGACCGCCCCTGTTCCTTTTCCAAGAAGATCCTTCTGAAGATGGCCCTGCACCCCTCTTTTGCTTATACTGCTCTCTTCTTGCATCCTTCTCTTTATTATCAGCTTCCAGCATCAAAGCCCTTTTTACTGCTTCAGAGTAAACCTTAATGAACTGTGCCGTGATCAACGGCCTCATCCGATCATTAAGACCAGAAACAACCTTAATGAACTGTGCCGTGATCAACGGCCTCATCCGATCATTAAGACCAGAAACAAACTTCCGAGTCTTGTTAGCTTCATCTTTCACCATTTCTGGAGCAAAGCGAGAAAGTGAAGTGAACTTGTTTTCATATTCTACCACTGACATGCTCCCTTGGATAAGGTTATGAAACTGATCTTGTAACTCCCATCTTTTGGAAAGCGGAAAGTACTTTTCATAAAACAATTCCTTGAACTTGTCATAACTCATCTCTTCTACCTTGTATCGGCTCGTAACCAACTTCCACCATAATTTGGCATCCTTAGCAAACTTATAAGTAGCTAGGATGATCTTCAAATGATCCTCCGTCACATCCATAGAAGTCAATTGAGTTTCAACTTGCTCCATGTAGTCATCTGCTATCATTGGATCCGCACCGCCCTCAAACATAACCGGCATCAGCTGAGAAAACCCCTTAACAATCTTGAGACGCTTCTGAGCTGGCGTCTCCTCAACTTGAACTGTAGGTTGTAGTGCCGACTGCGACTGAGCAGCAATCGTTGCCCTCACGACATTTTGCAACAAACGATTCAACTTTAGTGCCACAGAACCTTCACCCACTTCTACGGGTGCTTCAACATTATCCCTCCTTATGGGGACAACTTTCGGGGGAATCAAGTCCCTAAGAAGTGTGTCCTCGTCATTTAGCTCCTCCGGGTTGGAGCTGAAGCTCTCGCCAACATCACCCCTAGTCGGTCTAGGGCCACCTTCCCTGATTTCCTTGTGCTGTGACATCGTTCTATAAAACAAAAGAAATAATTCAATAACGATAACACTAAGGTCCAACCGTGAACAACCCAACGCAAAAAGATATTATACAAACATTTAGCATGTAATACTATGCAATGAACACATTAATATAGGCATATAACCACATAAGCACGTAAGCAAGTAAGCAGTTAAGCATGCTTTTTCAAATAGCAAAACACTTTTCCAAACAAGGAAATAACAATGCAAATGACTTCCCAGATAACCCTAGGTAAGCCTCTACCCATCGTCCTAATGGTATTCGAACCATCACTCTGATACCAAATTTGTAACGATCTTAGCTAATGCCAAAATTTTAAAAAAAATTCGGCATAACCTCCCCTAAAAATGGGCCTTCAACAACCTGTCCCAATACACAAAACACATAAAATCATCCAGCATCCCATTCATCCGTTCATTATACCTCAACATAGTTCCTCTCATGGTGGAACGTCCACACACCAATTAATCTAAATTATCATAATTACAGTCTCAAAATACATAGTTAAGATTTAAAGTCCCTGTCTTACAACGTTACATGATACAATTGCATGGAAACATATACCATAATTCCATTAGTTTCATTTACATCAAACAAAAAATAAGTTCGTTCTTAAGTTACAAGGCCATGAATACTAACTTAGTTACATCCCCACAACTATGAATATACAAAAAACGGTCAAAATACAAAATAGCAAACAACCTTCTAACAACTTTCAAGCTTGAGGTGGATTGTCGTTCACCAATTCATTTCCAAGACCTGAAAAAAATAATATAAATAGTAGGGTGAGCATAAAGCTCAGCAGGTGACACTTAAGACACACATCTTGTGTCCTTGTGAATCCAAATAAAGCATAGGCCAATGAGAAATGGGGATCATACAATGTCGGGAAATAATACAGCATAACGATTCAATCTCAAGTATATCCAATGCAATGGTATGAAATGCAATGCATGCTAGTGTCGCTCCCCATTTTCATAATCCAAAACATCGTTTCCAAACTGTTAATACAGCCCGCCCTTTGGTAGCCCCGCCGCGACACGAGAGGGGGATTGGCTAGTGTCCCTGACCCTTGGTAACCCCGCAGCTTCGTTATGGGGCCCAGCTAGCTCAACCACATTAGGGCGACTCCCTAGTCCCCTCTAGGCTATATTAACCTCCGGCCCGTTGGTAACCCCGCAGCGACCGGGTTTCGTATAAAACCATTTCATCAAAAACATGTCCCTGAAATTCCCCATATTTATTTCAAGAACAATTTCTCCCATTTCATGCAAACCTAATGGTATGTACATGTATATATGTTCCATACATTCAATGTCATGGCATTTAAAATTCTACACCATAAAATTAAACATTCAACATGTTCAACATCTCCCAAGTAATTATTAACACATTAAGATATAACAAAATACATTTAAGCATGCTTTACACATAAAACAACTCACATTCAAATACATGAATTTCTCTAGACAACATTTAAAATAATCATTTATACAATTAACTTCTAATTAAGCATGCTTGGCACAACAAATGATTATAACTCACAATGGAACAAGAAGGTCGTGAATTAAGGTGTCCCTACCTCAAAAGTGAGCCAAAACCCTTAAAATGGGTCTCTAAATTCGAAGTCCCTAGGAAGACCAAATCTGAAATTGCTTACACTAACGCGTAGAGCTTGTTGTGGGCTTCGTTTTGCCTCAAACGGCTCTCAAATCTACCAAGGATGAAGGAAGAAATCAAGAGTGGAAGTTGCAAAAAAAAAAGAAAAAAAAGAAAAACAGAGAGGAAGAAAGGCAGCGGGGAGAGAGAAAAGGAACAGAAAAAATGGGTCTGTAATCCCTTTTGGCACATGATAATATAAAATAAGTGGGTCCCACAGCTAAATAAAAAAATTTCTTTTAACCTATATATATATATATATATTGACACAGACATTACAGGCGGTCTCACCCACTCAGTCCAACAAACAGAAGACCTACAAGGTCTATCATACAACACCTCAAATGGAGCCATTCGGATACTCGCTTGATAACTGTGGTTATAAGCAAACTTAATAGGTAGATAATTTTCCCAACTACCACCTAAGTTAAGTACACATGCCCGAAGCATGTCCTCCAAGATCTGGATGGTACGCTCCGACTAGCCGTCTGTCTGTGGATGGAATGCCGTACTAAGATGCAACGCTAAACCAAACGCTGCTTGATGTCCTTCCCAGAACTTTGAAGTGAACTTAGCATCCTTATCTGACATAATGGTTACAGGAACTCCATGTAACCTTACAATCTCCTTCACATAAAGAAAACCAAGCTTCTCTGCATCGTCTGTTGCCTTAATAGGCAAAAAGTGAGCCGTCTTGGTCAACCTGTCAATGATAACCCATACGGCTTCATTGCCCCTCTATGACCTTGGAAGACCTGTCACAAAATCCGTAGCAATATGTTCCCATTTCCATTGCCCTACAGGTAATGGTTGCAACAAACCAGCTGGTCTCTAATGCTCGGCCTTCACCTGCTGACAAGTAAGGCACTTAGTCACAAACTGTGCAACATCTTTCTTCATCCCGTTCCACCAATACTGACGTCTCAAATTATGATACATCTTGGTACCACCTGGATGAACTGCAAAGCGGGAAGTGTGAAACTCTCGTAAGACGTCCTCATGACAAACCATGAGAACCACCAAAAAACCTCTGAACCGTAGACCCCCATCTGCATGTAAGGCCCAATCTTTCACTGTCTCACCACTAGAGATCAAAGCGTGAATGGTATCTAAATCCGGGTCCTGTCTCTGTGACTCAATCACTCGTACAACAAGAGTAGACTGAGCCACAATACTAAACAAGAATGCTGGCTCACTATCAACATCGTCATCAAAACAATACAATCCCATTTCTGTCAAATCCTTAAGCATCTTCCATTTTCGGATGGCCAAACTAGCCAAAGTTCCACTAGATTTCCGGCTTAAGGCATCTGCTACCACATTTGCCTTGCCCGGATGATACTGCAAGTCAAAGTTGTAGTCCTCCAAGAATTCAACCCATCTTCTCTGTCTGTTGTTTAAGTCCTTTTGAGAGAAAAGATACTTGAGACTTTTATGATCCGAGTACACCTTGAATCTCTCACCAAACAAGTAATGTCTCCAACATTTCAAGGCAAATACAACTGTCGCTAACTCCAAATCATGAGTAGGGTAGTTAAGCTCGTGAGTCTTCAACTGTCGAGACTCATAAGCCACTACTCTACCATCCTGCATCAACACATATCCCAAACCATCACGTGAAGCGTCACAATAAATTACATAACCCAAGCTACGCTCAGGTATCACCAGCACTGAAGCTGTAGTCAATCTTGTCTTCAACTCTTGAAAAGATGACTCACAGGCTTCATTCAGGACAAACTTGATCCCTTTCCAGGTTAAACGGGTCATAGGCGCTGCCAAACGGGAGAAATCCTTCACAAATCTCCAATAATAACCCGCTAGGCCAAGGAAACTCCGGATCTCAAAAACATTCTTAGGTTGTTCCCAATTCAAAACTGCTTTAACCTTTGATGGATCTACTGATACTCCACCTTCTGAAACAACATGCCCTAAAAATTTCACCTCTTGTAGCCAAAACTCACATTTTTCATTTTGGCATACAATCGGTGCTCCCGTAAAATCTGTAAAACAATACTCAAATGGATATCGTACTCCTCCCGAGATCGGGAATACACGAGAATGTCATCCACGAAAACTACCACAAACTGGTCCAAGTAATCGTGAAAGACGCGGTTCATCAAGTCCATGATGCCGCTGGCGCATTAGTCAAGCCAAAATGTATAACAAGGAACTCATAGTGTCCATACCGTATACGGAATGTTATCTTTAGGATATCCTCATCCCTAACCCGTAACTAATTGTAGCCTGATCTCAAGTCAATTTTCGAAAAACAACTGGCTCCTCTCAACTGATCAAACAAATCATCTATCCTTGGCAAATGATACTTATTCTTAATGGTAACACAATTCAACTTCCGGTAATTAATGCACAATCTCAAAGAACCATATTTCTTCTTAGCAAAGAAAACCGGTGCGCCCCACGGTAACACACTCGGTCGGATGAAACCTTTCATCCTCAAATCATCAAGCTGACTCTTTAATTCTTCCAATTCAACTGGTGCCATACGATACGGTGCCATAGAAATCAGCGCGGTACCTGGCATCAAATTAATAGAGAACTCCACTTCTCGGTGTAGAGGCAACTCTGTCAAATCCTCTGGAAATACATCCAGAAAATCACGAACAACTGTTAGATAATCTTCTTCCACAACATCATCCTCTTCGGCTATAAGGCTAGCCAAGAAGTAATCACCACGATGCCGTCCACGAACTCCATAAAACCATGAAATGTGGGAATCACTCCGATCTCCCACGAAAAAGAAACAGTCTCCCTCGGGAGTACAAACTATAACCCTTCTTCTGTAACAGTCAATCGTGGCATGAAAGGAAGCTAACCAATCCATCCCGAGAATGACATCAAAGCTAGTCATCTCTAGGAGGATAAGGTCAAACACAAAAGTCCGCCCGGCTATCACAATGGAACAGTCCCTCACGACTCGGCTTAAAGACACTGAAACTCCAACTAGTGTATCAACACACAACGCCCGATCCATAAAACTGACCTCTAACCCCGATGCAAGTGCAAATGATGATGAAATGAAATAATGAGATGCACCAGAATCAAACAAAACACGGGCCCAAGAACCAAACACTGGAAATATACCTCAGAGAACTGAAGATCCAGGAGATGCATCAGTTGGTGCAAGGGCAAAGACACGCCCCTGCGGTGCCTGTGCCTATGAACTACTAATCTGAACACCAGACTGTTGTGCCGACACAGTAGGAGTATCCCTCCTAGCTAGTCGTGAACCTTGAGAAGACATGACAGGCTATGGTGGTGGCGGCGGTGGTCTGAAACCTGACTGAACTGTAGCCGACTGTGACGGCTT